GAAGAGAAGAACACAGTGGTACTGTACTGTATCAGGTGCACGGTTGAAGCTGAGTCAACAAGGTGAAGGAGATTCCAGCACTTGAACAGTCTTAATATTTAATATGGGGCAACAGTGAACATGTTTCAGCTGTAAGCATCATCACTGTAAGAAACAGTGGTGAAACACACAATATATATATAAACAGCTGAGGTTAGATCATGATTGCTTAATGAGAAACACCTGTGAATGGACCACCAGAGGGGGAGTGGCTACATGACATCAGCAACAGAACAACAAACAGCAAACTCTTATATGAACCTCCACCGTGTCACTGCTGCACAATGAGAAGTAGTGAGCACAGTTTATAATAAAAAGAGGTTCAACAGCAAACTCTTACGTAACTTACGGTCAAAAGAATTTGCAGCGGGGAGGAACTGTCAGGTCCCGTCAAGTTGTTTAGTTTTTCCACTTCCTCTTTTATTTTATTTGGATCCCCTCACTTCCTGTTTGTGTTTCTTCTCAGTGTCTTGACTCTCTGTATGTGTGATTGTTCATTGTCTTCACCTGTGTCTCATTATCCCCTCTCCCTGTGTGTATTTATACCCCTCCTCTCCCTGTGTGTATTTTGCTTTCTTCTCAGTGTCTTGACTCTCTGTATGTGTGATTGTTCATTGTCTTCACCTGTGTCTCATTATCCCCTCTCCCTGTGTGTATTTATACCCCTCCTCTCCCAGTGTGTCTTTGTCAGATCGTCTGCGTTTCTTGTCACAGCGTTCCGGCCCATTTTCCTTGTGTTTTGACCCCTCGTGCATTCTCTAAGATTCTGATTCCTGGTTCCTGTATTTAGCCTAGCGATTTTGTACTTCTGCCCGGTTTGACTGACTCCCTGTGTACTGACCCTTTTTCTGGATTAAACTGTCTTTTGCTAACCGTCTGCCTCAGCTCTGCTTTATGGGTCCACAGCCTGTCAGCTCAGTTCATGACAGGAACCACTTCTATGCCTTGAAATGTAAAGAAACGTACATCATGGCCGGCTGCATGGAAATACCTGGCCGCAGGAGATTTTTCATCTTTATTTCTAATATTTCTTTTATGTTCAGAAATCCTCATTTTTAAGTCTTGTTTAGTTTTGCCAATACAAACCAACCCACACAGACATTTTAAAAGATAAACTGCTTATTTGGTTCTGCAAGAGATCCTGTTCCTGATGATGAACTTTTTACCATTGTGGGGGTGTAGAAAAACATGTCTGACCATGGCATGACACTGGGCACAGCCCAAACATGGGAAATTCCCCCTGTCAAATGAGACGAAAGATATCAGGGAGGATCATACATTTTTTACTCTGTCCAAATCATCACTGTAGCCTCTCTACCTGAAGTGATTACACATCTCTATAGCCTGTTCCTCAAATGCCTTGTGTGTGCTGCAAATTCTTTTGACCNCATCATGGCCGGCTGCATGGAAATACCTGGCCACAGGTGATTTTTCATCTTTATTTCTAATATTTCTTTTATGTTCAGAAATCCTCATTTTTAAGTCTTGTTTAGTTTTGCCAATACAAACCAACCCACACAGACATTTTAAAAGATAAACTGCTTATTTGGTTCTGCAAGAGATCCTGTTCCTGATGATGAACTTTTTACCATTGTGGGGGTGTAGAAAAACATGTCTGACCATGGCATGACACTGGGCACAGCCCAAACATGGGAAATTCCCCCTGTCAAATGAGACGAAAGATATCAGGGAGGATCATACATTTTTTACTCTGTCCAAATCATCACTGTAGCCTCTCTACCTGAAGTGATTACACATCTCTATAGCCTGTTCCTCAAATGCCTTGTGTGTGCTGCAAATTCTTTTGACCGTAAGTTACGTAAGAGTTTGCTGTTGAACCTCTTTTTATTATAAACTGTGCTCACTACTTCTCATTGTGCAGCAGTGACACGGTGGAGGTTCATATAAGAGTTTGCTATTTGTTGTTCTGTTGCTGATGTCATGTAGCCACTCCCCCTCTGGTGGTCCATTCACAGGTGTTTCTCATTAAGCAATCATGATCTAACCTCAGCTGTTTATATATACATTGTGTGTTTCACCACTGTTTCTTACAGTGATGATGCTTACAGCTGAAACATGTTCACTGTTGCCCCATATTAAATATTAAGACTGTTCAAGTGCTGGAATCTCCTTCACCTTGTTGACTCAGCTTCAACCGTGCACCTGATACAGTACAGTACCACTGTGTTCTTCTCTTCTCATCAGTGCAACTGGGTGCACCTGGCCAGCACATCCACAACACATTTAAGACCATCCATCCCCATTGTCTCCCTCTCACTCCGTCACTGGATCTCCCCCTTGCACCACATGATTTATTTGGTTTGGTTTGGTTATAGTTTTTACTTTGCACCATACAACACCACACTTTCATACATCCACTCTGACCTACTGATTACCCATTTCATACCTTCAGTTTTTGTGTTTGGTTTTCTTTGTGAAAAATGATTTATTCTTCATGTCAAGTTAAATTATGTGTTTCTCTCTCTGTCATGGCCAAAGAGCCGAGTCATGACAGAGCAAATCCCTGCAGCCAGGTTCCAGGTTGTTTGTTCGTCCACATACTTTTGGCCATGTACAGTATAGAACATATAGACTGCAGATACAATGACATCACATTTAGCTGGTCTGATGTAAAATATACCTGTCTGTCATCTTACTGTGAGCTCAGTATATTGAGTGGTGAAGATCAGCACGGGTTCAGTTTGTCATGTTAACATACATGAGGAGAAACTAAACACACTAGTCCCATCAGCTGTTTTATTTTCATTTTATTAAAAACTTAAATACAGATAATTTACTTCTTATATACATGTGAAGACAACTTCAGTAAAGAGAACAGAAACCAAAGACTGGCCATTGAGAGCATGATCACATAAACCCACTTATTGCATCAACATGACAAAGCCATGATGGTGAACCACTGCTTCATTTCTAAAGACAGTGTTTCCTCTTCAGTGCAGAGTGCTACAGTTTGGATGTGCTGTGGAGTCTTGTTGAGCTCCAAGTAGAGGATTGACTGGAAGCCGTCGTCGTGCTCACAGCTCCTTTCTTCTCGTACCTGAATCAATAAGGGACACTGTTAGTGAAAAGCAATGGAAACCTGAAACACTCACAGTAGTGTTTCATACTGGAGATCCTGAGCATCAACACTGTGTCGTGTCGTCTGACGTTTGTGATCTTACTTGTTTTTGTTTTTCTGAATGAGTCTTCCAAGTGGTGACTGTGGATTCACACATTTCTCCTTATTTCCTGTTATGGTGATACTGGGGGAGAAGAAAGAGCCGTGTTAGAGAGAAGCTGAAGAACGATACGTCAGTAGATGTGCTTTATTTCAGCTCTTTTACTCACATAATCTCTGTATGTGGACAGAAGACACTTGGCTGGTGTATGACTGGCTCTGCCTTGATGAGTTTCGGGCTGATCCTGCCGATATAATCGTTTGAACACTTGCATCTACGAGATCTGCTGGCTGGTTGTCCTGTGGGAAGAAAAGACAGGAGCTTGTTAACTGCTGATCCAAACCTGAGACAAAACAGATCATGATCATGAATGAATCACACAACAATAAACTTTTACAGTACCTTGTGCACAGAGGACGAGCAGGCAGGTGAGAGAGGCAACGACAGCTGAATTCATAGTTGTGGCTGTAGACAGGTTCTGGCTCTCACTGCAGTGTCTTTATTCAGTCTGGACTCCTGATGGTGTGCAGCACATGGGATCTCTCTTTTATACACTGGGTAACATCCACACAGGGCTGCTGGTTACCATGACGCAACAGTTTCACTTTCCAATATCCCTTTCACTTCCTTCGTCTCTTCCTTTTTCTTCCAGCAAGCCTGTTTCCAAGAATCAGAGACGCTTCTTATCCAGACTGTTTGTCTCAGAGAAACATTTCAGTCTACAGAGTGGCTTCTCTGTAATAATGTCTACATGAAGACGAGGATTCACAGTGGTACTGTACTGTATCAGGTGCACGGTTGTAGCTGAGTTAACAAGGTGAAGGAGATTCCAGCACTTGAATAGTGATAATATTTAAGATGACTCAGCTTCAACCGTGCACCTGATACAGTACAGTACCACTGTGTTCTTCTCTTCATTATATAAGTAAAGTCAATGATCATATCTACCTCTACCTTATTATGACTGCAAGGTTTTTATAAAAAAGGTCATTACAGTTAAACTGCACATATTTGCTATCTGATATCTGTAAGTTGGTAATGAATGATGTTTATACCAGAGGTTAACCAACAAAGACCTGTTGATGCTTCAGCTAAAGTGTCATCCACTGCCTCTATTGTGTTACAGGATTTTTGCTTAATCATCCACTCTACAACTCCACTCATGTTCTAATGTGGGTTGCTCTCCAAGTGTGTTGCAGCTCTACTCCCCCCCCCCCTCCCCCTTTCCTTCATTAGGTGCCTGAACCAACCTGAAGTTTGTTCCAGACCACTGTCAGCTGTTTGTCACTTCCACATCAGTGGACATCTATATCAGCCTCCCAGAACTGCTATTGCGGGCCCTTTGGCCACAGAGCTGCTTATGAATGTGTTGTGTTGTTACTGTGGTTGTTGCTCAGGCCTTGTGAGTTGGAGTCTGTCTTATCCTTGCTGACTGATTGTTTTCCCCAGTGTTCCTGTTTTGCAAACAACTTTATTAAAGCTTTGTATGGGGTCCTCTGCCCTTTTAAAAAAAAAACAACAACAAAAAAAATCTTCCTCCTGTTCTGTGGACAGTCAGGGAGGTTAGAGATTGTATTTGGGTATACAGGTTACCTGAGTTTCATTTCCTGGATAGCATGGGAAGGTTTGTTTGTTTTTTTTGGCTTTGAGACCTTGATGTTTCCTGCTTCCCTTAATCTCATCTTAGTTTTGCTACGTTTTGCTACTTGTGTTACTCTGATAATAAACGCCCACCTTCCTACATTTAATATGTGTCAGCTCTTTTTCTTTTCTTTGCTGTTGTGGTTTGTTAGAGTAACCTTGTGAACTTTATCTTACTCCCTGTGTTCCCTGGACATTTAAGTCTGACAGCAGCAACATCTGTGATGGGAACATGAACACATGAGACCAGAATGTGTCTAATAGACAACTGAAGAGTAAATTTGATGACAACAACATGACTGGTCTTTTCAGATTTTTCTTAAAAGTCTGATGTGAATGATGGCTTGAACATGTTTCAGAACGACATATTATGGGGTGAGTAAACGGTGTGCAAAGGCTCTGTGAAACAGTCTGACAGTGAATTGTGTGAACAAGCTGCTGCTGTGACACGGGTGGAGTGAGCTCACTGAGGCTTTGACCGTGTCTTTACTTCAGCAGTCAGAATAAAGTGCACTTTTTCATTTATCCAGCCCAGTCTAGTGAAGGATGACACCGCCACCTGTTGATATGATCCAGCTTCTTCAACTACCACTTTAAACACACCCTGTGAGAGTGTAGTGTGTATAGACATGCTGCACATTTAAATGGTGGTCAGGAGTTTAATACAAAATGGAATTAAAATATTAATCTTTAAGATGACTTGATAATAAGGTGGTTCAAAGGAGAGCAAATGATGAATCTCTTTACTGTGCATCCAGATAAACTGAGGGCCAGAAGATTTGCTATGTCAAAGTTTTAATACAGAAAACAAAGGGACTTATTTCCATCCTTTCAGTCCACTGCCTTTTCTATGTTACATGTATCAATAGTCAATATGACTTTAATGCTAATTTTAAATGTCACTGCTGTAAGAGAACATCCCAGGATGGTTTAATATCTGAGGAGGAAATAATAATGATCCTTGTCACAAGCAACAAACAGTATTCAACAGTATAAATATGAAATATTTGCCACAGAGTTGCCTCTACTCAGGTAACATTCGATTTCACAAAATGTTAATTCTCATAAAGCCTTTTGAACCCTACATTCAAAGATTCAAAAATAATTTTAGTCATTGTGGAAAGTCAAAGACTTTAGTCAAAGTTCATTGTGGAAAGTTGTTTCAATTTCACATCCCATTTCTTTGAAAGTCTTACATGTTTCGCTGAAAATATTAAAAAAGGGAACACTTGCACTGCATGACAGAGGTACTGGTTAAAGCAGGACAAACTATCACCAAATTAATCGCATTGTGATTGGTCCCTCCACCAACCAGCCAAGTTGCAAGAAATACGGTCAACATCTCTTCTTCCTCAGTTATAATTGCCTGAGGTGTTTGCAGAACATTATGATGTCACAGTGAAGTTGACCTTTGACCTTTTGGATATAAAATGTCATCACCTAATTTTATCCTTATAGACATTTGTGTTAAACTGTGGCATAATAAGTGAATGAATGTGTGAGTTATGTCCAAAAACGCGTTTTGTGAGGTCACAGGGACCTTGATCTTCGACCTTTTGAGCTTGATCAGCAAATTCTAATGATTTCATCCTTGAGTCCAAGTGAATGTTTGTGCCAAATTTGAGGAAGTTCAATCAAGCCATTATTGATATATTGTGAAAGCAGAAGTAAATCAGATGCACATTTCCTTGAAAATACCAGTTTTTCCTTTGAAGGAAATAATCTGGTGATATTATGTTTCTTTTGATACTAAATGTGTATAAATAACTGTTTCATTTACCAATGTGACCAATATGAACTGTTTATTGTGTCCATTCATATATATATACATTGAGCCAATAGTATTATTGTATTTAGCATTATGGAGGGTTTATGATTGGTGACCTTTTCTATATGTTGTGCTAGAGTCACCAACAAATGTAACCTATTAAATATGTGCATCTCTTTTTTTATAAAGACCTACTTGCAGTCATGATAGGGTAGAGGTAGATTACATTATTGACTTAACATATATATCGTTGAGAGTTCTATGTCCAAATCCTCCGCTGAAGTCAAACACGTTTTCGTTGAGTGTTGGACTCTGCCAAGGCTGGTCCTTGTCTCCGATCCTGTTTGTGATATTCCTGGACAGGATCTCAAGGTGCAGCTGAGGGGAGGTTTGGGGACCTCAGAATTGCATGTTTGCAGATGATGTGGTTCTGTTGGCTTCATGAGAGCGTGACCCCCAGTGCTCACTGAGATGGTTTGCAGACGAGTATGAAGCAGCATAGATGAGGGTCAGCCCCTCTAACTCTGAGGCCATTCAGCTCAGGGAAAACGTTGAACTGCCCCTTCTGGGTTGGGGGTGAGTTGCTGCCCCAAGTGAAGGAATTCAAGTATCTCAGGGTCTTGTTCATGAGTGAGGGTGAGATGGAGCAGCAGATTGACGGACAGGTCAGTGCAGTATCAGCAGGGAATCCAGACACTGTACCGGGCCGTTGTGTTGAAAAGGGAGCAGAGCTGGAAGTCAAAGATCTCAATTTACCTCGATTTATCGATATTTATTCAAACCCTCACCTCTGGTCATCAGCTCTGGGTAGTGACCGAAAGAACAAAATCACGGATGCAAGTGGCTGAAATGGGTTTCCTCCTCAGGGCATCTGGGCTCAGCCTTAGAGATAGGGTGAGGAGTTGTGACATTTGGAGGGAGCTCAGTATAGAGCCGCTGCTCATTTACATCGAAAGGATCTGGCAAGGATGCCACCTGGGTGCCTTCCTTTAGAGGTTTTCTGGGCACGTCCATCTGGGAGGAGACCCCAGGGTAGACCCAGAACTCACTGGAGGGATTATATATCCCATCTGGCCTAAAAATACCCCAGGATCCCCCAGGAAGAGCTGGAACGTGTTGCTGGGGAGAGGGATTTCTGGAACTTCCTGATTAGCCTGCTACGGCAACCCAGGATAAGAGGAAGAGGATGGATGGATGGAATATATATATTGTTGGTATACATTGTTTATCCATGTGAGTTTTGAGAAGTCTTATTGTGTTCATCATGACGGTTCTATTGTTGTATTGATGCTGTTTTTCACAGGTTCATCTCCAAATGTCAGCTGCAGTATGTGGGAATGTTTCTTTATGAGAATGCAGGAGAAATGAATTTAAATGATTTTAGAATAAAGTTTCAACATTAAGGAAGGAGGCTGAGAACTTTCTGAATGAACTGTAGCTTCAAATGAACTGTTGGGACGAGAATACGTGTGGAAAACACATTTTTCCTCACGAATGATAAGACTATGTTTCATGGTGTGTAAGTATATTGATGATGATTTTGATCTTAATGAAATGTATTCTGTCAGAGACTCTTCTTCTTCATATAGACATTATTACAGAGAAGCCACTCTGTAGACTGAAATGTTTCTCTGAGACAAACAGTCTGGATAAGAAGCGTCTCTGATTCTTGGAAACAGGCTTGCTGGAAGAAAAAGGAAGAGACGAAGGAAGTGAAAGGGATATTTGAAAGTGAAACTGTTGCGTCATGGTAACCAGCAGCCCTGTGTGGATGTTACCCAGTGTATAAAAGAGAGATCCCATGTGCTGCACACCATCAGGAGTCCAGACTGAATAAAGACACTGCAGTGAGAGCCAGAACCTGTCTACAGCCACAACTATGAATTCAGCTGTCGTTGCCTCTCTCACCTGCCTGCTCGTCCTCTGTGCACAAGGTACTGTAAAAGTTTATTGTTGTGTGATTCATTCATGATCATGATCTGTTTTGTCTCAGGTTTGGATCAGCAGTTAACAAGCTCCTGTCTTTTCTTCCCACAGGACAACCAGCCAGCAGATCTCGTAGATGCAAGTGTTCAAACGATTATATCGGCAGGATCAGCCCGAAGCTCATCAAGGCAGAGCCA